GATGAGATACGTTGATACAACAACACAACGAAGCAATCACTAAAGCTATCTCATTCACAGTTAGCCCAAAAAGCTTGATAAAGAGAGATTTCTAAACTCCTTATCCAGAAGCAAACTTCTCCTCCTTCCAAAAAGCTATAGTGTAAACACTTGAAGGTTTCCTTGCCTCAAGCACCACACCACGTTGAAGGATATTACTTTTGATCAAACTTATTGATTAAAAGGGGGTAGGTCAACTCTCTTACAAGTTGATCTTGCAAGTCCTATTGTTCGGATCTTGCAGTTGTTGAAGAAGCTTGACCTTCGAAGGAACAACAAAGCCAGCACGAGTGCAGTAGCAACATTGGTCTTGTGAAGATATACCGTGCAGAAATTCACACAAGTGTAACTGTTGGTTCATTATTCAACAACCAACTACATAGTGGATTTTGAGGACGTAGAAGGATTACCCCACCTTCGAACCTCGTTAAAGTTTGCGTGTCTCTCTCTCTTATCTTTATTCTTACTTGCAATTATATTAACTGTGAAAAGTAACCTATCCATATTGATTACTGCTCACTCCACCCACCAAATTCCGCACACAATCTAAAGTTCACAAGGACTCTAGATTAACACTCATTTTCTCATTTTCAAAAGAAACGAAAAAGATTTTAAATCTGTAACAAAGTCTATTTACCCCCCCTCTAGACTTTGTATTTCACCACTTTGGGACCACCAATTGGTATCGGAGCAGGCTTCTCACTATCTACGTTTAGATTAACGAGAAGCGATCAAAATGGTGAACAATATGGATCACGGGTTGCCCAAGTTTTCTCTTCTAGGTTATGATGATTGGAAGATCATGATGGAAGCACACCTCTACGCTCTACATGATTGCATGTGGATGGTGCTTGAGGATGGACCCTTGAAAATCCAAATGGAGAATCCTGAAAGGAATCCAGCAACTCCAGATGTAGTCCAGTACATTCCAAAGCCCAAGGAAAAATGGGATGATAGAGATTGCAAAAAGCACAATCTGGACAACGTCGCCAAAGCAGCCATCTTCAAGACACTTGATCCCATCACCTTCTCCAAAATCAAGTATCTCAAGACTGCCATGGAGATATGGCAAGGTCTTGGGAAGCTATGTGAGGGATCAGAGGACTTGAGAAAGCAGAAGATAGAAGTTCTGCTTGAGAAGTTCAAAAGCTTCAAAATGCTTCCCGGAGAATCATTCGATATGCTGGATGAAAGATTCCACAAAATCTTGAATGATCTTGCATCACTTAACCACGTTCTTTCTCCCAAAGAAAAGAATGTAAGGTTGCTAAGATCTCTTCCAACTGAGTGGTACACCAAAGCCACAGCCATGGAAGAAGGAAGAAATCTGGAGAACTACACTGTTCAAGGTCTTCTAGATGAGCTCAGAACCTATGAGCACGAGCTGAAGAAGAAGAAGGAAGAACAAGTCACTCCCTTCCCCACGGCACTGATGACAACTCCAAGAGTCCCATCAAGTGAAGGGACATGCCCAAGAAACTGTGACACACCCTCCTCCAGCCAGCCGTCAAGTTCAAAAATGGAGAACTACGATGAGGAATTTGCCATGATGGTCAAGAAAATCCGGAAGTTCAAAAAGTTCTTCAAGAAAGCTGACTCAGTCTGAAGGCCATCCAAGGTAAAGCCACAGGTAAGTGACTCTCCTCCTGAATCTTATTTGTGTTACAACTGCAGGAAGCCTGGCCACTGGAAGTCAGCATGCCCGTACCCAAAAGTGGAGAAGTACGGAGAAAGAGAAAGGAACGAGAAGAAAAAGAAGGCAATGGTTGCTGCTGAAAGTGACGAGTCATCCAGCTCAAGCTCGGATGAAGAAGCTCTCGTCTGCATGGAGCGCAGAGCTGAAAAGTCCAACCATGAGGATAGGTGGACCATGTCAGAAGATGACACTCTCTGCCTAATGGCCAAAGATGATGCTGATC